TTTGCCCCCGGTGAAAAAAATTTATGTATCCGCCCGCTGCTAACAATACTTGCACCATCAAAGGTCTCATTGCTGCTCTTTGCTTCCACTAAATGTTCGAAGGCATGGGTCTCGGTGGCTGAATCCTCCAGGTGCATTCTTCTTTTCCAATTAATTACTAATATGGTCTGCTCTAGTCCCGTCCATTACAATTGTAGGATTTGTTTTTTAACCCGGTTTGATTTCTCCAAATTATGAAAACATGCGCAGGAGTATGGATGGGTGAAAAAGGCGGTCACAACGCCTTTTGGAGTGGGTTTAGGGCTACTCAATGCTTCTTCGGCTGGACTACACATTTATATGTCTCTACTCTCTAGTTGACCTTTTAGCCGCAGACTTCATGAGTCAGAAGATGCAACGGAGCACAAGCTTCAGATGAAGTCAATCGTGCCGTTTTGCTTGGTGCTAGTGGCATGTCCGTCTTGGCTAAGTGGACTTGATGATGTGCCGGTGCTACCTTTTACTCTCAATTTTTTTTTCCTCTTTTGTACATCAAATAATGGATACATATATTGTGATTGTGAGATAGATGTAATTATGGAACAATCTAATCCACTGGTCAATATGGATCCTCGGCTTGTGGTTTGTTTTCTCGATCTCCCAAGGGAAGCTAACATCAACGCTTTGGTTCTAAGATTTGGAGGTGAATGCGAGCTTGTCTGGTTGAACGACAAGAATGCATTAGCGGTGTTCCATGATCCAGCTTGAGCAGCCACTGCCGTGAGAAGGCTTGATCACGGTTCTTTATACCAAGGAGCAGTCGTCATTGTACAGAACCCGGGAAAATCTCCGTGACTCAGTAGCGCATGGGGAGTTCCTGGTGGCTCGGTTAGGGAGTTTCAAAGTGGAAATCCGTGGAATAAAGCTGTGATTAAGGAATCTGATGACTCTTGGGGAAAAGAATACTCCCCTATTGGAGGATATGTGTGGAAACCAACAAAGGATAACACATTGGTCACTCCTTTAGTCAACCGTTGGAGCGTTCTCGAGCCGAAGAAAGCTGTTTCGTTGAAGCCGCTGGCTCAGGCTCAGACCGGAGGGACGAGTAGTTTAAAAGCTGCTGGTAAACAACCGGTAGAGACTGAAGTGGTTGATGATTGGGAGAAAGTATGTGATTGAGAGAAGAAGATAAAACAAAACACAAAACACCATGAAGTTTGTCTCTCTGTGAAGTCTTTTTTTAGCTTTTGATCAGATTTTGGACTAATTATGAAGCTTTGAGAGCTCAAAACATAGGATCAGATATTGAGATTGGCTTTTTACTCTCTCGGCCCAATGGGCTTTTGTTATCCATCAAGAAACATACTTGTTTGGTTTTCAAGGGGATTCTCTTTCTGATTAAGAGCTACAAGTTTGCGGGTGTATATGCTCTGCCTTTCATTACTTTGTCACTCCAATTGAAGAAAAGAAGAGAATCTTCACAAAAATTAGCAAAAGTGTTTTTGGATCATTTGCTAATTTCTCCTCGTTCGTCACAAAAATTTCTTCTTCATCTATATAAACCCCTAATGAAAAACAAAAACCAAGAAGAAAATGTCTTCACAAAAGAGTAACAAGAGTTCTCAACTGGTTTACTGGACTGTTTGTTGGTTTTAGGAAGCCTGCTGAATTGAAGAGGGTGAGTTGGTTAGAGGTAACGGTTTCGTTCGAGAAACTAAAACCCGGAAAAACATACCAAATCAGTTTTAAAATCTCGTTTACACCGGACGCAACCGGTTGGGACGAGACGAAGCCCCGGTTTTTGTGTCTGCTAAAATTGGAAAGAAAGGCAAGACAGTTTGGAAACGGATCAAATCCATTAACCAAAACTTTCGTAAACAAAAAGGCGGATCAGAACTCGTCAATATACCTGACGAAACCGATGGCCGGTCGGTTAACCAAGAGACCAAGCTTCAGTTTGGTCTGTATGAGGTGTGGACTGGACGATGGAAGACTGGTTTGCTGATGATCCATGAAGCCTTTGTTCAAGAAATGTAAGAGAATATGATCATTGTCGATTTTCATAGTCCCGAAAAACGAATCTTAGACCTTACATTTCATCTATTTACTTTTACATAATGTAACTGAAAGAGAGATGCCATAAAGCAAAATGATACCTTTTCTTGAACAAGTCTTAAAGTTCTGTGTGATAATCTTCCGGTTTACACCACAGTGAGAAATCGATTCCTTTCGTCTTCAAGTTCTCAGTTGCGGGTGCGATTCTCTCCAGAAGCTACAACGGTTAAACCAGAAAATGTCAACTGAATCTCTAAGCGTAACAAATTAAAAGAACTTAGAAAAACATTAACAGTTCATGAAACCTTAGAGTGAATAACGCCGTTGGACACCAAAACAGATCTATCGAACACGGAAAACTTCCCTCCATCCATTCGGGTCACGGCTCCTCCAGCTTCCTCAACTATCTGTGTCCAAATAAAGACATATATAAAGCTCTACGACACATGTAGTTTCGTATAAAGAAAAACAATAAGGATGAGGAGGATTACAAGCAAACCAGCAGCCATGTCCCATGTCTTTAAACCGTACTCCCGATATGATTCCGCAATCCCGAGTGCCACGTGACACATGTCAACTGCTGCAGCACCGAGACTTTGCACTCCCCGGCTCACATCAGTGAACTCTTTGAATAATTCCATGTTTGTACTCATGTTCATATCCAAATCCTGTGATAAGAAGGGCTCTCTCAACCTACACTCAAAGCTGAATAGATGTGTTACAATACCAAAAACCTTGCACACGCCAAATCAAACTAAACTAGATTCTAGATATATTACTTACAGCATCGGTATTACTGACATGAATTTTTTGCCCATTACACAACGCTCCACCACCTAAGAAGTACACTAGTTAGACAAATCTTGAATTCAGATCTGAACTAGATGAACATAAGCTTGTCACATTGTACCTGCAGTAGCAGAAAAGGTTCAAGTGTTCCAGCACATCGGACCACCAACAAACTCTACCACAGAAGCAGCGGCGGGGTTTCCGCGATATAAAACACCAACAGAAACAGCAAAACTTGGATATCCATGAGCAAAATTTGTTGTTCCATCTATTCCATAAAAGGGAATAGATTATTACTCAAACCTCGGATAGATTATATATATGCTTATGAAATGAGATTTGTAAAGAGAGCAAGAACCTAGAGGATCAATGCACCGAAGGTAATCAGAAGACGTATCGCCGATAATACCTCCTTCTTCACCAAGAATAAGATGATCACTGAAATTCTTTTCACTACCTCCAAAATCGCAGCCTCACTTGCTTTATCAGTGCTACAAATTCAACATAAGACCTCAATATAGACGAGCTTAGCATTTTCGAACTTTTAAACCTGAAGATTCTTGATATGTTAAGAGTCCTTACTCAGTAACTAAGTCACTAAGACCCTTATAAGTGATATTCCTTGGCTTATTCACAGCTTCCATTACAACCTAT